TATCTGTGTGTGTGTGTGTGTGTGTGTGTGTGTGTCTTTATCTGTGTGTGTGTGTGTGTGTGTCTTTATCTGTGTGTGTGTGTGTGTGTGTGTGTGTGTGTGTGTGTGTGTGTTTACACTAACCTGTGTCTCCCCTCCGGCGTTGTGTTGATCTCCAACATCTGCAGAGAGATCAGAGCATCCGGTCAGGAGTCGCCCCCCGTTTAAAAAGGTTAGAGCCCCCTAACCCTAACCCTAACCCTAACCCTAACCCTAACCCTAACCCCAACCCTAACCCTAACCCTAACCCTAACCCTAACCCACCCCCCCTCCCTCCTGACACCTACTCTGGGACTAACAAACAAACAACAAAACGACCACACACGGGGGCCCGGGGCCCGTTTTGTCTCTGTTTGCATCCATTAGCATTCATTAGCATTAGCATTCATTAGCATTAGCATAAGCATTAGCCTCTCTGAATAACCGGGGGGCTCTTTGTTTGCATCTTTTCCACGATTCTACGCACTCTTCCGTCTTTTTTCTTCTCTTTGCATGTATTTGTGTTCATTTACGCCTTTTTTTTAGTCGGTTTTTCATTGTTTCTCGCTGGGATCTGATGGTTTGAGGTCTCTTTTCAGACGCTTTGCCTCAAGTAGTTTCCCTTTTGTGAGTCTCTTTGCATAGATTTTGCATTTATTTGCATAAATACGACCGTTTTTTCTCTCATCCTTCAGCTTTTAGTGCTCATTTCTGTGTTTTCTGCTCAGATCATTTTTCCCTCTCAGCTCATCTTGGTCTTTATAAAGAAATATGATCATCCTTTTTACGATGAGACACGCTAAGAGTCATTTAAAAACAGGTTCAGTAACAATCAACCATTTTAGAAAACAAAATAAATTGTTGTTTATATTGTCTTATACATAATGTTAAAAAATTATAAGTCTATAATTTGTTATTCTTTTAAAGGGTAGTTATCTGATTTTAAATGTATGTAAGTTGTATTTCTTTTATATTGTATTATTTAGTGTAGAGTGGATTTGCTTTTGTTTTGAAGTTTAGAGAGAACGCTTTTATTTTGAAGTTAACAATTTTTCTTAAATTAAGGCTAATACGTTAATGGAGTATCTTGAAGATTTGGATAACAAGGTATTTTATTTATTTGTTTTCTTTGTAAGTATTATTTCCTATGCTCTGCAGGTTATTGTTTGTCTCATTAATGTTTGTGTTTGCTAACTTTATTTTGTTTTTACGGCGGATTTGGAGATCCCAAACCAACTTCAAATAAACCAGTAAAAGAAAACCCACGAGTCTGGTCGTGCATAAAGGGAATTATAATCAACTTCTCTGAGATTTCTGTAGTTTGGTAGTTTCTGTAGATCAGACCAGTCTCATGTGAAAATATACATTTTATATGCAGCATTTTCCTCACAAAAAAATGACTTTCACTGTATGAGCTAAGTTTTTTTTACCAAAAACAGCTGCTGACTGAGTCAGATCTCATTCGTGTTCATCAATGGTAAAAAGTTCTATGTCTAAAAAACTTCTATTTCTATTTCTATTTTTTCAGAGAAATTTGTGTATTTGTGTTTAGTCCTGAATCTATCAAACTTTGGAAAATCTCAATTATTTATAGTTTTTCAGAGAAATTTCTGTGTCCTGAATCCGTCAAACTTTGGAAAATTTCAATTATTTATAGTTTTTCAGAGAAATGTGTGTATTTGTGTTCAGTCCTGAATTCATCAAATTCAATTCGTACGTCTAAAAACCTTAAAATTACACAGATAAATGACGGTTTATCTGTTTCTGAGTAATAAACGGTCTGAAGGGTTTCTGTTTCCAGAGGCTTTTTCCTCCTGCTGGGTCCCCTCGTGACCTTTGACCTTTGACCCTCTGACCAGGCCTGCTGATGTCTTTCCTCCTGTTTCAGCTTTTTTCCTTCATTGTTTATTTTAATAACAACAGACTGTGTCAGGGCTTGTGTTTGGATTTGATGCTTTTGTTTGTTGATATATTGATTTATTTATTGAACTAAAATGTCCACTCGGCCTTATTTAGCTCAGAAGCACAACTTTGAAGTTACCTCCTGGCTCAGTG